CAAGGGAATGGTGTGTTAAAGGGAAGCTTAAAGGGCGCAAAGCCTGGGTGAAGGGACAGGAGGTGTGTCAGGAACAGTGACAACTTTAGTTATGGATTGTTGAGGTGCCTGTAGAAATGCCCACTAGGATGGTAGATATGAGTCCAGCATAGATTCAAGGTAGAGAGTTGGGTGTCATCAGGGGAAAGATGAGAAGAAACCATGAGAAGAAATGAGGTGGCTGCAGAAAAGTGTATGGAGTAGAGAAAGGGATCAGCTTAGAACCCCAAAGAAGACCAATAGGGAAGGACTGGATAGAAGAGGAAAGAGATATGGGCAGACACTGAGAAGGAAGGAGCTCTCAGAAATAGGGGCAAACTAAGGAGACAGTGGCAAGGAAGCCACGGGAAGAGCATGTCTCAAGAAGAATGTCAGCAACATCAGACGTGGTTGAGAGGTTCTATAGGATAAGGTCAGAGATGTCCACTGGACCTAACAATAAGGGGCTAAATGATGGTCTTGGTGAGTAAAGGAAGTCATAAATATAGATGATGGAGACAAAGGAGCTCAGGGGAACGTGGTTCTGAGATACTCATCGAGAAAATTTCTGCAATCTGGGCTTCATTGTGTGAGTGTGTAATGTGTGTGCACATGCATGCATGAAGATATGCAGAGGTAGAGCCTAGAGTAGGGTGCACAAGGACAGGCTAGGGACCATCACTGCCTTCACTTTACCCTGGGCAGCTTTTGATAAGGATCATGAAAGGAGATTTTTAAGAACTGTTAAGTATAGTTCACCCTTTCCTTATTGGTGAGAAAATGGACAACAGTAGAGACAGAATAATTTGCTGTCTGAGTCTCCAGACTTCTTAGAAGAGTCTGATCTTGGAAGGTGAGTTACTTATCGGTGACTTTTCCCATCACCTCAGTATTTGGCTGCCTCTTTCTATGAGTAAAATACATATTTTATATATAAAATCTAAACTTTAAAGAAATGCTTTAATCCCAGCACTCAGGAGGATGAGGCAGGAGGATCGCTGTGAGTTTGAGACCAGCCTGGGCTACATAGTGAGTTCCAGGTCAGTCTCAACTACATAGTGAGACCCTATCTCAAAAAACCAAAAATAAATAAATTAATTAATTAATTAATTAATACTTTAATGTTCAAAAAGTGACACCTGTTACCATCATTAACATTTTGGTCTATATTCTTCTCCTTTCACTTAACATTGTGTTTAATAAACATATATTTGTTCATAATTGTTTCTGTGTGTGTGCATGTGTTCATTTCATTTTACAAACTGCCCTTTCAGTTTTGAACAGCTTTCTATGGTAGCACATACAGATCTAACACATTCATCTTAATAACTACATCAGTTTATCATTTGCATTTGTCCCATTAATATATTACCAGACCCACACTGATGGATATATAGGTTGCGTCCAAATTTTCACTCTTGTACAAAGTACACATACATATTACTGTTCACATGTACATATATACAGTTTGGGAGTATTTGAAAGAGGAAATGCTGGATCAAAGAGTTTGAACATTTTGTTCTCAAATATATCATCAAGGGCTGGGAATTTAGCTCAGTGGTGCCGCTGCCTATCTTTAAAGTGCAAGGTCCTGAGTTCAATACCTGGTACCAAAAAAAAAAAAAAAGAAAGAAAGAAAAAGAAATAATCAAATCACCATCAAAAAACTTGTTGTGGGTTATCATCCTATAAATGTTTATGTGAATGCACATTTCCTCATGTCCTTTCTAATAACACGTATTATCATTTAAAAACCTTTCCAACTTAGATGAAGCTGAACATCTTTTCATATAGCCTATTGGCCACCTGTATTCTTCTGTGAACTACCTATTCATGTCCTCTGTCTTTTTGTCATTGTAGTATACTTTTGGTCAGTAATAAGACAATATGATTGGCTTAATTTAAAAAAAAAAGGCCTGGAAGCCTTTGTACAAAATTGCTGGCAGTGTTTACCTAAAATTGAGAGTATAGAAAATGAGGGGCAGCCTTTCACTTCTATATTACTGGATCTTTGTCATGGATTAACTAATGGTCAACTTGGAATGATCAGCTGAACTGAGTTAGCATGGTTCTGAGCATGGAAGACTCACCTGAGGATTGTTGTCAATAGCATAAAAAGAGAACTAAAGGGGAAAATTGTGGGTGTTGATTTTCTAGGAGAAACTTGTTGCAGTTGGTTTTCCTGATGTGATCTTGGCTGTTCTTGGAGAAGGAGCTTGGGGCCTCATTGTCACTGGGAATGGCTACTGTTCTCATCAGGGGAGCTCTGATCTTCACTGTGAGTGTCATTTCCGGGCTCCATTGTAGATCCCTCAGCTTGGTGGCACAAATCCTTCACCCCACCAGCACAGGTTTTCTGGCTTCCACCATTGGCTTTTGGGCCTTCCAGGTGTAGATCCTTGATTTGGACAAGCATGAGACATTGCTGTGGGCTCTAGGCCATTGGCTGGACTCGAGGACTTTGCCTTGTACTCTAGGTCTTCAGCTGGACTTGTGTGGGATATTGCTGTGGGATCTGGGCCCTTGGCTGGACTGTTTGGGTCTCTAGTATGTGGCTAGATCTCTTGTACTCCTCTGCATTTGAGTGACTATTATAAAATAATCCTATAAATTATGTGTTCTGTATTATATCTATTTCCCTTGCAAACTCTGACTACAAGAAAACTGGTACCAGAAGTAGGATTGTTGCTGTGACAGTACCTGGTTATGTGGCACAAGAGCCTTTGGAACTAGCTTGTGGGAAGGGGAAGAGTTAGGAAAGATTCAGAGATGTCAACTGAAAAAGTAGAGCTGCTGGAACATCTTAGGCTATTCTGTTTGAGAGACTCTGATCAGTGCCCAGAGGTCAGAAAGCTGGTAAAGACCTGGCTCAGGAGGTTTCTGCTGGGAAGAAGAACTGCATTGGCTGTTGGACTCCAGACGATGTGTGTTACGGCTTGGCAGAAAGTTTGTCTGAGTTTTGCTCCTGTCCAGAGACTTTGCTTGAGACGAAGATTAGGGGCAGTAGACTAATCCTACAGCAGAAATTTCAAGGCAGTCGAATATTGAGATGGTGACATGGCTACTGTTGGGGACTTTAGCCAGATTTATGTTAAGAATCAAGAGCAAAGAGCCCAGCAGAATGATTTAAAATGTTTTGGGTTTCGCCAGAAAGAAAGCTCCAGTAAAGCTGTGGACTGCAAAGATAGAGCAGAGATCTTGATTGCTGAGAAGGAACAGAACAGAAAAAAATGACCTGAGGGCGTCAGAAAAAAGCACCAGGACTCCACCCTTTGCAGCCTCACAATTGCAAATGTGAAAGAATTTGCCTTGAGAAGGGAGCTGAGAGCACCATGTTCCAAAATGGTAGCAGCCTAGAGAATTTGTTCCTCGGAATTAGATTCAGAGTGCTCAGCAATTCAGGCACTTGACCCCTACAGCTAAGAGAGAGGGAAGACTGGCTACTATTGCTTCAGCTGGCAGCAGAACTTGGTATCAACCAGTGGCACTGGTTCTAGGCCCATGCAGAATAGAAGAGTTGTGGGGTCAGGAAGGCTTCCACCCAGATTTCAGAAGAAGGCCTGGGAGGCCAGGCAGTGTGCCTGAGAGGGTAATGTGTGAAGCTGTGAGTGTGAAGCCAAAAGTGCAGTGGGAGACCCCAGAAGTTTAGAGAAGCCAAAAGCATGGATTGTCCGAGAAAAGCTGCAAACAGGAGCAGAACTGGCCCAAGAGAGAAGCCAGGGGAGCTATAACCATTGCAGTGCTATGGGGTGGAGCCACACGAGCCCTTTGGAGTTCACAATTTTCCACAGATTGCCAGGAGTGCTGGAAATGGAACTGTGGAATTTAATGTTTGCCCCGATGGATTTTAGACTTGCCTTGTTCCCATTTGTTTGTATCCTTTGGTCTGTAACTTTTTGGAATAGCAATGTATCTGGTGCTATTGAATGTTGGAAGTGTTTTTCATTTGTACAACGGCTTGCAGCTAAGTTTGCCTTAAATGTCAGAGGAGACTTTGGATTTGAACTCTTCAGCAATTCTAAAACTGTTAGGAGTTGAGCAACTTTTACGAAGGACTACATGCTTTTTTGCATAAAGAGATAGGCATGAGTCTTTGAGGAGCCAGGTTGGAATATTATGGCTTATGGCTAGATGTCCCCCCAAAGCTTCATGCAGTCTTTTTTGGAGCTGAGTGACTCTAGAGTGTGTGATGTTAGGATTAAGGGCATGTGACTACTAAACCACTACACAAAAGTGATTAGTTTGGCACTGCCCTGATCCTGGTAGTCTGAATAAGATAAAAGGGCCAGAAACAGACTGTAAAACTTTCTTGTTGCTTCTGCTGTGTTCTGCTCCCATGAACTGTTGCCCCTCTGCCACCCTGCTTTGGAGCTTGCCTATTGTGGACTGAAATCTCTATAAACTGTAAGCCAAACAGACCTTTGCTCCTTTAACTTTGGATGTCAGGGTTTTTTGTTTGTTTTTGTTTTTTTCCAGCATTGAGAGAAAAGTAACTAACACAAGTTTTTACAAGAAACTTGCATCTCTTTCTTCTTTACATCACTAGGGATCAATTCCAGAGCCTCACAACTCTTGACATTCTCGACAAAGTGCTCCACTGCTGAGCTACAGCCCCAGACCAGGAACTTGGATCTTTTGTAATTAAAAAAAGTAATATACAGGGCTGGGGATTTAGCTTAGTGGTTCTGCCACTTGCCTTGCAAGTGCAAGATCCCAAGTTCGATCCCCAGTACAAAAAGAAAAAAATTAATATTCAGAGGGAAACCACAACCAGAAATAAATGTTTGGCCTAGGTTTCCACTGGCTGAAAATTCACGTTAGGTGCAAGATTTTATTGATCACAAGTTATGTTTTGGTTTATTTGCAAAAAAATTTATTGAAT